CATTATTGATTAGGAATTGGTGCAAAGAATTGCATTATGAAATATGCTAGATAATGCTTTGTATCTATGTAGTTTATAGATAACTTTTCTAAGAGTTTTGTTAGGGCTTAATATAATTATTTAATAATTCTAAAATTTTATTAAAAGGAGAAGTATTTATTGTATTTTTATAATTTTAATATAATAAATGTGTATTTTTTTATAAAATTTAATAATAATAAAATTTTATTTAAAAAAATATATTTATTGTATTTTTATAACTTTAATATAATAACTGTGTATTTTTTTTATAAAAAAATTTTATTTGTGGATATTTAAACTCAACATTAAAGATTGAGATTAACAAAACTTTTTTTAAATAGTAAAGTATTTAGAATATTATGTAAATTTTTGTAAAAGAAATGTTTATTAATATAGTTAGACCATTGGTTAATTCAAATAAACAATTTGATAGATTGATAAAGTTGTTATATATAACTTTTTCTAATTATTGTAGTTTGTTACATTTTTTTAATTTCTTGAATCTACGTTTATGCAATCCAATTATTTATACTAATGTAACACTTTGAAAAAAATAATAATATCAATCTTATTTAATTCTCTACATGGTATTATAGTTTAAACTCAACATTAAAGATTGAGATTAACAAAAAAAAATTTTAAATAGTAAAGTATTTAGAATATTATGTAAGTTTTTGTAAAAGAAATGTTTATTAATATAGTTAGACCATTGGTTAATTCAAATAAACAATTTGGTAGATTGATAAAGTTGTTACACATAACTTTTTTTAATTGTTGTAGTTTGTTACATTTTTTTAATTTCTTGAATCTACGTTTATGCAATCCAATTATTTATACTAATGTAACACTTTGAAAAAAAAAATATCAATCTTATTTAATTCTCTACATGGTATTATAGTTTATTTATTTTGAATGTTGGACTACTCACATATGCTCATTTCTGTTGTGTTCCATCTGTAAATTTCATGCATAAGATGTTTAATCTTGTGTGTGAGAAAATGTGTTAAGATGTCCTACATTGGTTAAAAATAGAGTTAGTATATTCTTTATAAGGGTTAGGGTAGTTTTAACTAGCTTTTACGAGTGAGATAGATTTGATAAAGTGTATTAAAGATGTCCTGCATTGGTTAGGAATAGAACCAGTATATTCCTTATAAGGACTAAAATAGTTCTAGCTAATTTTTAAGAGTGAGTTAGACCTAAGTTTCACCCACTTAACTGTTTTTAAATGTCTTCGTCTTCTTTGATATCTTAAATCCATTGTTTTTCATGGTCGAATGCTTCAAAAACCACAAGCTTCTATTCTTCTAGCATATAACTATGCAAATTGGACAAGCAACAAAGATGTTACCATTTCTAAGTCTTAATTATTTCTTTGTGATAATTTGAGTGCTTTAACTTACTTATAACCCAATTTACCAAAGTCACATGAAGCACATCTCAATTGACATTCATTTTATTCGAGAGTTGGTACAATAAAAAAAAACTCAATGTTCATCACGTTTATATTACTGATCAACTAGTTGATTGCTTGAATAAACTATTATCAAAGACACGTCACTAACATCAAAGAAACAAGATTGATGTCATTGACATAACTTCAATCTTACCTAAGCTTGTTAAATTAGTTGTTTAATTCAAATAAACAACATGATAGGTTGATAAAGTTGTTATATTTTTGAATTTTTTAGATCTGTTTTTATGCAATCCAACTATATATGCGGATAACACATTGACAAAAAATAATAATATCAATCTGATTTAACTCTCTATAAATACCAACTTTTTATGTAATTTTTTTTAATGAGATTTCCATTGAAAATATATTATTTTAGTCTCCTAAATTTCTTATTTATATATTTATGATGGATGAGTATTTTAAAATTAACAACATAACTAGATTTCAATCTGCCCATTGCACAAATATCTCAAATATTATAATAGAAGAAATTAATTTTTTTTAATTTATTTCTAATAGATTTTTTTAAAATAAAAAAAATGCACATATATCTTATATATGATAATAGAAAAGGTTAGTTTTTTTTATTAATTTTTAATATATATATATATATATATATATTTAAAATTAATAATTTAAAATGATTGTAAGTATGTGAGATAACAATTTTAGTACTATGTTATACAAATATTTATTAACAAACATATTTTTATTAACTTTTTAATATATACTTTTTGTTTCTACACGTCAAACAATTGTTTATGAATTTATCAACAAGAGAAGTGATTTAATTTAATTGTTGCAGCATCCTTATACAACATTAATGATATATATATACACATAAATAAAATGCCTAAGCTTAAGCAAGATTACTCTTATTACATCTTTTCAAGATATCTAAGCTCCAGGATCTCTCTTTAATTTGAGGTGTTGATCATTGTCATACTCTGCGCAATTATTTGTTTGCCATCAAAAGGTCAATTTGTATTGAAGTTAGCTGAATGAAGCATACTTTTCAAAACAAATCGAATAATTAAAATTTGTTTACAAATTGAGTTACCCTCACTTTGAATGGAAGAAAATTTTCAACTTAAATAAAATCCGATGATAGTTTCTTTCAAAATCCATTTTATAAATAGCTGTTTTTACATTTTCCCATTCTTCAAAAATGTTATGACTAAATACACAGGAAATTGTTCTTTAGTAAGAAATTGGGTTCATGAAACTTATACAAATTACATGGCCTGTGATTTCCGTTTCCTTCTTCTTTTTTTAATTTATTGTATAATTTATTGTCTTCGTTCAATAAAAATATAAAAATCGCATTTCATATAATTTCTGTTAAATTTTATTTTGAGCAAATACTACTAAACACTCTAAAACATGTCATGACCCTTTTTATAAGGAACCAAGAACATTGTTTCTACACTACATACTTATTTAAATAAATAAATAATAGAGAATATAAGTATAAAATTCATTTCTTATTCAAAATAAAATAAAGTTTCTTACGACAAATATCCAATATAACAATATAATATTACATTTAGTTCATAATATTCAAAATACCCAAAATTATACTACGTAGCTTCCTTTATATGAGGTCTCAAAATATAAAGAAAAATGACTTTGATGCAATATTACTCGACTTCAGCTTCTAACATTTCTCCACTGGCCCCTCAGCCTGTGAAGTAGATGCAACACATGCTACATCTACTCACATACCACCGTACGATCATCGCAGTACACACGCACACAACGACATAGAAAGAAATGCAAGGGTGAGCTTACAAAATAAACTAAAATCGTATATATATATATAACAAAAACATTATTCACAGTAACAGCTCCATGCATTATCAGCCCATCTAATACACAACATGAAAACGGTTTCCAACTAGTTTCACAGCCTAAATAATCTAGAAAGAACCGAGCCGGTCCGGGAGCGACCCATTCCGGTATCTGGATCCAGACGGCATAGCACAGCAGCTCAGCATAAACTTACCGTTACATGTATACCCACCTAAACATGTAACTTGGTTTCATAATGATGCAAAACATATATCTCAGCATGATGCACACCGCCAAAATTATTTTAACAGCTCAGTTAAGGCAAGTTTATAATAGATCAACCAAAATCTCAGTATTTTAAATCAATTAACAGCAGTTACAGCTTAAAAAATAGCTTTTATTCAATAGATCTAACAAAATCATATCAAAACATCTTGAAATAGCATATTAAACCGTTCAAAACGTAGTTCATAGGTTAAAGTAAGCTCCCCTTACCTCAGAATGATGATTCATACTAGATATACCGAATATTACTTGTTTTATAACAAGATTCACCGAAGATTTGGTTTTAGAACGGAGTTTCTCCTAAGAACACTATGAACTTCTATGAGAAAAAGAAAAAGAAGAGAAACGAACGGTAAATCTAGCTTCAAACTTAAGGAAACTTACTTCAAATCTCTTAGAATAGACGTATAATCTCAGATCTGACGAGAAATCTAAGTTTATGAGGGTTTAATATGAGAAAAAATGGTGATATATGGCCTTAGAACCTTTGAGAACCTTGGATATGAGTAAAGGAATGAAAATTTCATGTGAAGCCCCTTTTTATAGAAAATTTTTAAAATTTACTGTTCACTGCTAGAATTTACTATTCATCGCCGGAAACAATGTTCATTGCTTACTGTTCATGCACGCGTACTGTACACGCACTGTACGCGTATGTGACGTTAGCCATGACGTCAGGATGATGTCACTGATGACGTCAGCGGTCACTGTACATACGCGATTTTTACTGTTTATACACGGTTTGTACGCGGTTTGTAATGTTCATAAGCGGTTTTACTGTTCATTTGACACTGTTCATACGGTATTGTTCATTTTTTTTATTTTATTTTTTTTAATAAATAAATTTCAAACTCCATCTAAATCTATTCCAATACCAAATAATCCTTCAATTAACATTTAACAAGTATAAAATATTATAGATTACTCAATAATAAATCACAAGTATGACAAAACACAACTTTTTTTTTGTCAACAGTTATAAATAAAATAACATTTAAATTTGTACAGTTTTATTATTATATCAAACCTATCAAATCATGAAGCATGGATTTTATCAATTTATTTTTTAAAACAGTCGTTATTTTTGTAGTTCCCCTAAGTTATAAAATCACTCCAGCAGTCAGCTGAGTGTGAGACAAAGTTAGAAGAAAAATCAGAATTTGTTGGACAAAAATGGCACTGAGGCCCAGTTTTAGTTTTTGGGCCTGAACTTGCCATTTTGTTGACCGTTTCAAAATCTATTTCTGAAGGCGCCCCAAAATTTCATTTTTGGCTCTACCCTCCATTCTCGGTTTCCATAGTTGAAAATCAAAATTTTCAACACCTCCTTCTCACAAATGAATATAAATCAGCATCACAAGACCCAAAGTCCACCACCCCACTACTTCTATATCTCTTTATTCCTAAACAACAACCTTTTTGTGTCACTCAATTTTGTTAGAAAATGGAGGCTAGTGACACTGCCACTACAATATTCGACGAGAGTAACAAAGAGAATGTTCCTCCAACATGCGACAATAACAAGGGTATGACCCCAATTCCTCACACGACCACAGCTTTGAAGAACAAGAAGGGTTGTAACAGAAAGCCCAAGAGGGTTCCTCTTGCTGACATCACCAATCTCTTTAACAATTCTACAACAACTCGTCCCCACCAACGACAAATTGGAGTTTCTGATCTTCGTAGGACACACACGATTCACCGTTCGGTAACATTAAGATAGTTATTGTATCAAATGCTGCGTATGCATAAGAAAATATTGCACCACATAATGGCTTCAATTATATATATGTATATCGTGTCTGTGTGTGTACGTCAAACTCAGTCTATGTAATCCGTACGTGTGGAACTCATCTCTTAAAATGCAATTTTTTGAAGGATAATTTCTTCTTTAAGTTGACACTGAACTGGGAACTGCGCAGCAAGTCAGCAACGTTACAATCGTAGTAATATCAATGTGTAGGGAACGTGGGTAATTCATGAAATTTATGGCATTAGTTAAATACAACTTGATGTATCTAAAATGCCTTTTCATGTAAATCTTATACTTTAATTGTGGAATACATATTTGTTTAACTTCTTATGTGTTTCAATCTTATATAATAATCACTCGTGTAATAATATGATACGGATAATATCATTTAGGGTTAGAATTATTTCATGAAATGCATGTGATATATATATATAAATTATTTATGTAGTTTTTGCACAATAGACTTATTATCTATGTAGATCTTATATAATAAGCAAACATATGTAATAAAAAGATAAGAATAATTCCATTTAGGACAAAAATTATTTCATGAAATGCATATGAAGTACACGTGGCATTCATAAAATGAAATGAAAAACGAAATTATAATAAAAGAAAAAATTAAATTACATTTAACAAATTTCTCATATATTCACAAATGACCTTTATTAACGATAACATAAAAAAGAAACGGACGTGCAAGATTTTAAACTTAAAAAACTCAATCATATTTTTGTAGTCAATAATAAATAGGACTCGTTACAAAAAAAATCGAAGACAAAATATTCACATTCATCTAGGGTTTTAGATTCACCATTGTTTAAAACTTTTTAAAATCAATCTTTAATCCAATAATCGGTTGTTTTATTTTTGGAATGAATAACAAAACAATCTAATTTATATTATAAGAACCACTTATTTGCAACATTAAATAAGGCTAAGGCTATTTAATGAATAAGGCTAAGGCTTCCATTTTATTCTATAAGCTAATAATCAATTATTCCAAGGCCATGGTTGATTATTTGATGTCTAGAATTAAGCATTAGTCAAGTTTTTCATGCCACTTGAAAAGCACAAAAAAAGCTGAACATTTTCTTCAAAACAATACTAAGAGTTGAATCACAAGATCAATATCCAACCATGTACTATATATCTAAGTTCATTTTCACAAACTTGGCACGATCTTATAAGGATAACACTTACATCTTTACAATCTATTATCTAATATGAATCTTTAAGGTACTTGAACTTGATCATTGTCACACTACATTTGTTTGCTTTGCCATCAAAAGGTCAGTTTGTATTGGTGAGCACACTTTTCAAAACAAATTGAAAAAATACATATGCAAAAAGAGTCACTTTGAGTGGAAGCAAATTAAATTAATTGGGTCAAAGAGCTCAAGGCACATTTGCAACTGGCTTAACTTAGCTTGCTACACTACGCTAGAAATAAGCTTTTGAAGCGCTAACTTAGATAGCGGTTAATAAAAACCGTTTTGTAACAATATATTTAGAGAATTGTTAACGTTAAACTGCTCTCAGATTTATACTTTTGAGAGCTATTATCTGTTAACTGCTTTCTAAAATATACTTTAAAGAGCGGTTAGTGTTGAACCACTCTCAAATCTATACTTCTAAGAGCGGTTCTCTATTAACCATTCTCTAAAGTCATATATTAGAGATCGGTTAATAAAGAACCACTCTCTAAAGTCTTTAACTTTTATAAATGAAACACGCTCAACTCATGAATCTCTTTGTTTTCTTAACAAAGTTGGTCTCTTTTACCTCTGTAACCTCTGTAAGTTCTTTTCATCTTTTATGCGTTTACAAAGTTGGTGTATTTATTCTCTTTCACATTTGTAGGTTCTTTTCATCTTATATATTTTCACAGTTCTTCGTTCATATTTGTAGGTACCTTTTTCACAGTTTTTCCCATTCTTTCTTTCTTTTTCTCTATATTAACGGTAAATCATTCATTCTCTCTTTCTTTCATTTTCTTTTTGTTAACGGTGAATTATCTTATTAATTTGTTCTCTTTTTCTCTGTTTATTGTTTGGTTTGTATAAACATGGCTGTTTGATTAACATAGCGTATAAACTCAAGATTCAATTTTAATTTGTGATAAAAATGAAGAAATTTTGATTGTCAGACTTGTAAATTAAAATTTAAACGTAACAATAAATTAATTTTAGTTTGCTACAGAAAACTCACAAATAAATAAATTTTAAATTTCAGATTCACGTTTTAAATTCATATTTTTAAGAGCAGTTCTGCGTGAAACCTCTATCTAATCTTACACCCATACTTTGAAAAGCGGTTCCACGTGTAACTGCTTTCTAATCTTAACATTTGAGAACGGTTATTTAACCGCTCTCTTAAATATAATATATTGGATAGTATGAGATTTTAGAGTAGTTCTAAACGCTCTTTAATTTAAAATGAAACTGCTCTTTTATCTCATTTTTAGCATAGTGCTAGTATGATGAAGTTTTCTTATAATTTTGTTTTAGAAGGTATTTTAATAGAAATAATTGATAATAATATGATAGAGGTATCATATTTAGTCAATAATAGTGGCTTTAATGTGATTGTTAAGTATTTGTAAATTCACACTAATTGATTTACATATTTGTAATATAATTTGTTTTAAAATATATATTATAAACATTTATTTTTACTTTTTCTATTTATTGAAGGTATATATGACTAACATTTAATCTGGTACACTTTCTTTAGATTCTTGGTTGCGCTGCTTCCAACTGCTCAATCAATTGAGTTAGAATTTTATTATTTAAATTATTAAAACTTGACATTGCATATTATTTTATTTGTTTATATACATATATCTTAAATATAACTGAGACACTTTCAGTGTCCATTTAACTATAAAAAGAAACATTACAGAGTTATGAAAAAGTTAGTTTTGAGTTCAAAAAATTATCTTTGCCAAAATATTAGATAGGATTTGGATTACCTTAAACTTGATTTAAGTCAACTTATTAGCACCCTTAATTGCATCAGTGTGCTTGCATGAGTTGCAGGGTGCATGTTTTCCGACATGGCAAACTCCTCCTTAATTTACTCGAAGCGTGTTCTAGCATTCGGTCCCTTGCCACAACCAAATGTCTCCATGCACTCTCCATCACAATGGGTCCCATTCCAAAGCAATCCATCTTCATCCACAACAACATCATTTACTCTTACATTTCTGTTGGCGAAGTTCTGCATGCACGCAAGGTTTTCGACGCTTTGCCCCAGAGAACTGTTGTCTCTTACAACACTCTCATCACTGCTTATTGTCGACGTGGGGATGTAGATGATGCTTGGAACTTGTTCTGGCACATGAGGGGGAGTGGTTTTGTGCCTACCCAGTACACCCTCTCAGGGTTGTTATCTTGTGAGTTGTTGGGTCTTTCTCAGGGTTTTCAGTTGCAGGCTTTGAGCATTAAAGATGGACTCTATGATGTTGATGCTTTCGTGGGTACGGCTTTGTTGGGCATGTTTGGGAGGCATGGATGTTTGGATGAAGCGTTTTGGGTATTTGATGATATGCCCCACAAGAGCTTGGTGACATGGAACTCCATGTTGTCCTTGCTGGCTCGTAATGGGTTTGTTGAAGATTGTAAGGTTTTGTTTCGTGAACTTGTGGGAATGGGGGTGTCTTTGTCAGAAGGTTCTTTTGTTGCCGTTTTGTCTGGACTTGTTGATTCTGAGGATTTGGAATATGGTGAACAGATGCATGGTTTGATGGTTAAATGTGGGTTTGGTTGTGAAATTACTGCGGTTAATTCTCTCATCTATGTGTACGTCAGGTGCAAAGCCATGTTCTTGGTGGGAAGATTGTTTGAGGAGGTTCCTATTCAGAATGTTGTGTCTTGGAATACAATCATTGACGCATTGGTAAAAAGTGAAAGCCCTAAAATGGCGTTGGAGCTGTTTTTGAATATGTCTGGCAGAGGATTGATGCCAAGTCAGGCCACGTTTGTTGCTGTTATTGACTCGTGTACTAGTTTGAGAAACTCGGCATGTGGAGAATCTGTCCATGGTAAGGTAATTAGAAGTGGTTTCGAATCTGATGTTATTGTGGGTACTGCATTGCTAGACTTCTATGCCAAATGTGATGACTTGAGTTCCGCCCATAAATGTTTTGATCAGATAGAAGAGAAGAATGTGGTTTCTTGGAATGCTTTGATATTGGGTTACTCAAATATTTGTTCTTCTACATCAGTTCTATTGTTGCAAGAAATGCTTCAGTTAGGTTATTCCCCTAACGAGTTTTCCTTTTCTGCTGTTCTTAAGTCATCATCAATATCTGACCTACATCAGCTCCATGGTTTGGTTATAAGAACGGGGTATGAGAGTTATGAATATGTGTTAAGCTCTCTTGTTATGGCTTACACTAGAAATGGTTTCATAAATGAAGCACTTTCGTTTGTCAAAGAATTTAATAATCCACTTCCTGTAATCCCATCTAACATAATTGCTGGAATCTATAACAGAACTTGCCAATACCATGAAACAATAAAGTTGCTTTCTTTGCTAGAAAAACCTGATGTTGTATCTTGGAATATTGTCATTTCAGCCTGTGCTCGGAGTAATAATTATAATGAGGTTTTTGAGCTTTTCAAGCATATGCATTCTGCAAGCATCCATCCAGATAGTTACACATTTATGAGTGTATTGTGTGTGTGCACCAAATTTTGCCGTCTGGATTTGGGCAGTTCTCTTCATGGACTTATTATAAAAACTAATCTTAGTAACTGCGACACATTTTTGTGTAATGTACTAATTGACATGTATGGGAATTGTGGAAGAATTGATAGTTCGGTGAAAGTTTTTGAAGAAACTACCTACAAAAATGTTATTACATGGACAGCTTTAATTAATGCCTTTGGGCTGAATGGTTATGCTCATGAGGCAGTAAAGAGATTCCAAAACATGGAGTTAATGGGATTGAAGCCTGATGCATTAGCTCTCAGAGCAGTGCTTTCTTCTTGCAGATATGGTGGATTAGTGAGGGAAGGAATGGGAATTTTCAGGCAAATGGGAACCAATTATGGGATTCCACCAGAACTTGATCATTACCATTGTATAGTAGATCTCCTGGCTAAAAGTGGACTGATTAAGGAAGCTGAGAAAATTATTGCGAGCATGCCTTTCCCACCAAATACCAATATATGGCGTAGCTTCCTTGAAGGCTACAAGAGGCAAGAATTTGCATAAGGACTTGTACAGAAGAACTTTATTAATCTTTTGGCATCAATTCACTTAACATGTTTTGCAGTTTGGTTTTTCAACCTTCTTCAACACTGGATGCACACATTTAGTTCAGTTTATTTTAGAGAAGAAATCACATTTTCTTTGTATAGCTTTTGAGAAAGAAAAAAAAAAAAACATATATTTCCCCAGAAATAATCCACTCTAAACATGCAAGGTTTAACCTAAATGCAAGGGAAAGACCATGATTAGGGGAACAACTAAAAAGTTTCTGTTGTGTCATCTTTCCTGCCCTTTTATGTAGTCTGGTAAATCCATGCCATTCAACTCCTTTCTTGCATATTGTATAGTCAAGCCCGAGCCTTCCTCCTAATAACATAAAATCCTAATTCATCGTACCAGGATCTTAGTTATGAGATCCATAAGTTCCTTGGGTGTGCATATATATATTATTTCCTCTGGGTATTCCACATGGCTGTTTTCTATCAAATCAACTCCGTAATCACATGAAGAACTCTTCGTTAAATTTATTTTCTCAATCCTTTGGTGGGCATAGAATGCTGTTTCGCATGTGAGAAAATCTCGATGCATCTAGGGATTGATTTGACAGAAGTTATTATAAAGAAACACAAGCTTTCTGTTACTAATCGTCTCTGTATCAAATATCCACGTCTCAACACTTGTTTACCTAACATGTAATAAGTCCATTTGAGAGAAGCAACAAGTCATTCAACCATCACAGCGTGCTTCTTTTACTATTGGGTTGCTATTAAGTCAGTTTAATATTATTATAAATCTTGAGTGTTTCATCAAATCTTAACAGGTAAAATGTGCTCTCATTTTTTATTTCAAGAGTTATTTTCTTAAATTGCACGAACATATAGTGCTTGTGGAAGCAGAGTGCCAAAGGTCAAGTATTGCTAAATCTCGTTCGTAATCATTGATTTTTCTGTTGTTCTCACAATCATTGATCGATTTTTCACATAATATTTGTCTTATAGTCAGCTTGTGGTAAAAAGTCTTCTGTGAGGAGACAATATATGGCTCTCATCGGACAAGCATATTCCTGGCATCATAGTGGACTATGCTGCCAGTAAAAAATTCCCAAGTTCCATCAGATGTCGCTTTCTGCATTGGACTATGGTAAGAAGTCAATGATCTCCATATAATCTGGTTTCTGCAATTTATTTGTATCATACCCAATGCTTTTAATTATCTAGTTCTTATCTCTTCTTCCTCCTGTTTCTGTTTTCCTTTTAGAAGAGAGGGAGTTGTGTGTATCACCATATCTTCACTCTTTAGTCATGTACAGTTTATTTGCTTTGAATAAATAAATACTGTACTTAGTAGGATTAAGAATGGATTGACTAGTGGAAAAAAAAACCCAGCACTTTATCCAAACATGCATATCAATTTCCGTCCCTTCTCCCTCTACGCTTTATTTTCACAGCAAACCATAAATTCTAATCATTCAGATTGTTTTTGAAAATTTTTTATTATGTGAAAAGGAACAAAGAAAGTGGATTTGACTTCTCGGTTTGATGTTATGATGGTAAACAGTAACATAATACTGAAATCACTCTTTAATATTTTAGATCAGGCATTATGTATTAAAGTAAAACTCAAACAACTGTAACCTAACAATGCTAATTATAAGACATTAAAATACTATAAGACCATTATTTTCTGACTATTATAAATTATATAATTACTCATGTGGGAATGCAGCAAATGGTAGGCTGTCTCCATCTCTAGACACTAGGGTACTCCAATTGCAAAAGAACAGATACAAACATCTATACTGGGAGAAAATGAAAGTTGATGATTCTTACACACCAAGGAAAATGCAAATGGTGGTAGTTAAAATAATCTGAGGTAACTCTTCTATTTTTATATTACCTTGATGGTTTTGCTTCTTTATCAACTTGTAAAGAAGGAAATCAAGTAGAAAAAACAGGTAACATTCTATTCGGTTGGAGGGACATGAAGGGGACGAGAGGAAAGCATTTATAAAGGAACAAAGAGCACAATGAGGAAGCAGAAATCTCTCACTCTACCTTTTTCCTTTCTGCTAATATTGCAGCAATATTATCTTATTTTTTTTCTGTCCACTTCTGCTATAGTGGATGTTTGCAGGTTATAGGTACTATTTTCTTTATTTTTCCTATATATGGTTCAAGTTGATTTTCAAAGTGCTGTAATCTCTTGATAAAGAAAGGAATGGATTAAAAATTAGAACGGCTTTAGATAAAAACTCTTGCTTGCCCATAAAAGAAGCACTCACTCACCCTATTCTTATTTACACTCAACAAATAACAACAGCAATAGATTCACACGATATGCTTTAACCTTAGGGTTAGTCTTTTGAAGTAGGCCTGTTTAGGGAACCCTTGACCTCTTTGAAATATTTAAATTTGTTGTGGAAGACAGACAGTCACATATTCGTGTTTAGAATCCCATTTTGTTTAAAGTTTAAAAAGTTAAGTAGAACTGATTTTGAGCTATTGAATATAATTGAGACAAGAAACTAAATTAATCTAAACCACACATTTTGTTTGATGTTTGTGTTTTTCAATTAAAAGAATGCAAGAAATAAGTTTATATATTTAAAGCAAATAAGTCCTATAAAGATTTAATTTAATTTTGGCTCCTACACGTCCTGTTGCTGCCGTTTTTACCTCTGTAGTGCAATTGCTTTTTCAAATAATTGCAATGATGTGACTTTGTAAAAGTCGTGTTTGAGAAGTCACTTTCATATTAATTTTGAGGTTTGATTTTTAATATATGTTTACTTTTTGGTCATGGAGGTAGGGTTTGGAGGATTTTAGGAGAGCACGGTTTGAAGCCTGTTTCACGGTGCATACATATCTTTAACGGTGCAATCAAGCTTGGACATCTAAACTTGAGTTTGCAAGAAATGAACTATACAGGCTAAATACCTTAATTGGATTTATTTGTTCTTTAAATTTCATGCTTTCTAAATATGAATAACAAAATCATTTAAAAATATTAAAATTATGTAGCTGTGTTCCTTTAAAACAGGAGGTTGTATTTGATATATATTATATCAATTTTACGTATAAGAAACACTGTTATAGCTTTGAAAAAATATCTTATTTGCTCCCTTTCACACATTCAATAAAAGATGGCAGTGAAATAACTCAAGGATATAAGAAAACTATTCTGTAACCATATAGAAACTGTCTAAAAGAGTGATGGGTTAGGCAAGTTAGGCAATGAGTTTGAACATAACAATTTGATAGTAGTCCTAACTTCGACTGTTAACAGATCATGTCAACCTCAATATGGAGCTTAGGCGACAAAGGACATTTTGATCCTACACATTAATTCTAAGTTAAGAGGATCAATGTACAATTATAGTGGCGTTTCCAGTACTTTAGAGTTCCATCTATGATGACACAGTGACAATGTTGTTCTCCCAACCCATAATGGCATTGATTGCATCGTCCATTTTATTGTTTTTACTATATTGATTTTTGTTAATTTAATTTGCTACATTACTGTGTATATTTTGATTTATTGAAATCAAAATCATTTTATGTAAATGTGATTGTGATGATTATGTATCTTATTCATTACAAGAAAGTTTGTGAAATGATAGATATATTTAGTTAATTTTCCTTTCACTTAATCTATTTCACTTCTCTTGATTGTGATTTTTAATGGACACAAAATTCGGAGATAACTAAAACTTTATTATTTCAAATAAATATATTATATTATATTATTAAAGATTTTGTTAACTTCAAGTCCTATAAGATAAACTCTAAATATTTATAAATAAAATTTTTTTATAAAAAAAACATAATTATTATATTGAAGTTATAAAAATACAATAAATATTTCTTTTTTTAATAAAATTTTATTATTATTAATTGTTTATCCTCAACTTCTGAAGTTAACAAAATTCTATTATTAATGACAAATAGCATAATTATTTCAAAATCTCAGGCCAAAGCATGCCTAACACTTATAGCCAAATCATGCAAGCTACATTCTTAGACTTAGAAGCCAAATTATAAACATTTTTCATGCATGTATGTTGCACGCATTAATTATATTTGTAATTCAAGGCAGTTTGTGAAGAATTAATCTTCAACTAACATGACGTTTCAGCTAGTGTGGTACGTTGACAATATGTTCAATTCAATTGATACGTCTCATTTGTATGGTTTAAACTCAAAATTTGAGGAGGAACAAATAGGAAACTACTACTAAATAACTTGCATATACCAATTTCTTATGTTTCAGGCTATCTATTAAGGTTTTCGGACAACTTGGCATATCCCTCAACACATGAATTATTTTTCGTAAACATGAAGTTATACCCAGAAAACTCAAAATAATAACAATAATAACTCCCATGGAGTATCACACACAGTATATTTTAAAATTTTGTGTCAATTATATTTAGGCTCTGTTTGAAAGTTAGAATTAGGAAAGAAGGGAGGCCAAGAAGAGGACATTTCTTGTTTTGGGGATTTTTAAAAGAAAGGAGAAATGATGTAAGGATTTTGAAATGTCCTTTAAAACTTCATGCTTTTATAATTTTTGAGTTTCACTATTTTGGAAGGTTTTAAGCATCCAAGAAAATTAGCCTCTCTTTCAGGTCCTCTCTCTCATATATATATTCCAAACTCCCACACAAAGTATAGAAATTGTTTAAATTTTTTTAAAAGAAAAATACATTTTTTATGAGCATATTTTAATAGATTTACATAAATATAATATATTATTTGTTATTGTAAAATTTATATAATTCTATTAATTTAAAATAATTTTTCCTCTCTTCCCTTCCAACAACTTACTTGTAAACAATCTCTAAATTGATCTGAATCACATTTACATTGAGATGTGAGTTTTTATTGAAGCATATCTTTTCTTTTTTAATTATTATTAAAGAATACAAGAATTAGTTCCCTAACATTAAAATAAATAGGAGTTTGGTTAGGTTTAACAGAAAAAAGTATATCCATTAATCCAAA